AGCTATTAAGTGCCATATTGAGGATAAAAAAGTGCCAAAATTTGCCAACTAGAAAAATAAAAGTGCCAAAATTTGCCAACTAGAAAAATAAAAGTGCCAAATAAATTCTTTTTAATTCTTCCCATTTAACATTAAACATTCCTTGATCAAAATTCCAAATCCAAAGTAAGATAAACCAGTTGTATGCACTGTAGAAACTAGAAAATTTTACTTGAGAAAAGGAAGTACTGGCAAAGGATTTCACAAAAATGTATTGAAATATTACTATTTTTCAAAAGTGCCATCTTTGGCACTTTGTGCCAAATTGCAAAATTAAGTGCCATTTGATGTTAAAAAAGGCAAAAAATGGCAAGGTTTGAGAAAGTTGGCAGCCCTGTCTGCAAAACGTCAAAGGATACAAAGGAAAATCGCAAACGTAAACAATTTTTGTGTTAAAATTTTATATTTTGTTATTAGTTTTGTAAATACAAAACATTTCATATTTCAATAAAGAGGCGTGTGTTGCAATAGATATTTGCAGTGCAGGGCATGTCTCTACGATTCATCTGTATCGAGGTACGCCAAAGTCTGCGATGTGCCAATGTATTTCTCCAGTTCGATCACAGTCTAACCGAGACGGAATTTCTCAAAATTGTTGTAGACAATGATGCGCTGACCTTCCGTGAATACTCAACAGCTACACGTGTTGTACTTAGCAAATATTTCACCGCAGAGGCGCGCACTATAAGCAACTTGACTGTTGAAGAATGTAATGCCAGCTTTCGATTAACCATTACCATTGATGGTGATCAATTAACTGCAAAGGATGCAGCAAAGCAAGTAAAAAATGAACGACGTGTCGGTGTCACACCCAAGCCAGGTGTCACAGAAGGAAGTTGCATTCAAGTCTTATGCAAAAATTGTAAATGTGAACTTAGCACAACATTTGAATGCCAAAGAGTTAGAGAATTCCCATCTGGTTCGATCGACATCAGTGAATTTTTTTGCCATCATGGTCCCAATTTCGACAAAGTTTTAGTGCCCTTGATTACCGATTTATTTTATGGCTTCCAATTTGCTGTACTTAATGTGGAGTTGGTGCAGGAACGGGTAAAACTTAAGGATAAACATGTGTACTGTCGACGATGTTTACAGTATCTGGGGGAAACAATGCTTAGTGATAAGGCCGTGAAGTTGTGGACTGACACTCTGCTCTTAAAGCAGCGCTTAGAGGAAGCCGAATCGATCATAACAAATATCTTTGTTGAAACGGAAATCACACCAACTTGCCAGGTTTTATACAAAATCATTGATGACACTCAAGTAAACGATGCTGTTGGAGAACTTTTATTTCCAGCTATTCAGTTCTGCAAAGTTCTATTAGAAGCCACATTTCCAAACAGGCAACGCAAATATATGCTGTTGCAAGTGCTCGAAAAGAAATTAGAGGTGCTGCGTAACACCAAACCACTCGCTCATGGAAGTCACAACAATAATAATGTATTGCAAGTAGAAATGGAGCAATTCAAATGCTTTAAACTACTTTATAGACTACTGGATGAGACGGAAGATGAAGGTGGAGGAGAGGCCAAAACTGAAGATAAAGACAGTGATGCCAGTAGTATCAGTAGTGACAATTTACTATTGAAGACTTGGAAAGAGGATATGTCCATACATGTACTAAAGGTGTCGCCCACATTATTTAGCACACTGTTAGACGAATTGGATGACAATGCGCTATTATTACCCGAATTGTATCGTTACACCCATGACCACTTTCAGCTGAGTTACATATTTTATAAAGATTAAAGAAAGAGTAATGGAGCGAGATTAAATGACGATGGACTGGCTTAATTATTTGCTTACAACTCTTTGTTATAGGTTTATTTGGAATGTATACATTTCTACGTATGTACATATGTATGTACATACATATATTCACAATTTTCGTGTTTATTTATAACCATACACTTGCAATGCGCTTATTTTTTCTAAGATTGTAATCAACAATTAAATAGTATGATTTGTCTCTAATTTTAAATCGGAGTAGACTCAGATTGGTATACATACTACATACATAGGTTTAATTGCAGCAATAAGTAAATTATCATATACATATGTTTGTAAATGTACGTATTTAGTGTATAATTATGTTTGCAATTTAATTATAATTTGAAATACTAAGTATTGTAGTCAAATAAAATGTGTTCATATCGCTTCGAAATCTTAACATTTACAGAATGTCAATAAAAATTGCTGGACGAAAAGAATTAAAAAGATAATGTGTTTTTTTGGTCCTCGATATTTATGCTTACATTTCCTATTCAGCTTTATTAGCGCCTCTAAGGGGTCGCCTACTTCGTACGTACACGTGTTAATGACATATCTATAGAAATTGTGAAAAAATGTGATTTTACTTTTTTTAAGTGAAGTAATTTTAATGTGAATATACAGGCATGTATGCAAAGTATTGTGGATCCTTTGAAATAGAGTTTGTAAATCGATTAGTTAACTAAAAAAAAAATCGTTGTCTAGTAATGAGAATTCCAAATATTATTTTTGTTTTAGATTTGTTAGACGTACTACAAAAACAATTATTTTTATATGTTTTGGTAGAAAGCAGGAGGCGAGAGTGAACATTTCTTAAGGCTTAGAGGCCTCATCTTTGGGATTTTTCATTCACAGTATTTGCTGTTTACGTATGTGCTTTATTAGACGTCTTCTTAAATCAACAAATCATACTGAACTAACTCTTAATAGTAACGTATGGTATGTATCTCAATTTTCATAATAAATTGTAATTAAATCTGTAGAATACTGGGTTCATTTAATTAACGGACTTAATTCAGTTGATTCATGAATTTAAAATTTTTTATAATAATCTACTTTATAACACTTATTACATTTTAGGAGTATTATTTAATTAACAAGTAATTCCTAGCCATCAGTAACCTACTAATCTCACATTTTGTCACTGCCTACTCCACTTTACTTTGCCATACGTCGCATTTGCTTTGTTTGTTCTGACATTGAAATTTCTGCATTATCGGCCTTATTAATTAATGCATCTAATTTGTCTAAATGTGAGGTCATCTTTTTCTGCATATCTATTTTGGCTTCCCTAATTCTTTCTGTCGGTATAATGGGCTTTATGTCTCCTGCATCTTCTTCTTGTTTCATATCATCAAGATCTTGTGAAGCACTATTTATTTCCGAGACAATCTTTCCATTATTATGACCACTAACAGTGCTACCAGTTGCGGTAGTGTTGCGTCGACTGGCTGTCGCCGAGGTAGAAGGTGTACCATCTGCTAAATCTACTGAACCTCGACTGAATATATTCGACAGGCTGCCACAAGCAGTCTGTTTGAATCGATTTAATTTTTGTTGCGTAGATGAAAGTATCGTATTCAATTCATCTAAACGACCACCTACATTTTGCATTTGATCCTCCTGTTGTTCTAGAAGCTGAATATAAAAGAACAGATTGCATATAATAATTTGATTACCAGTATACACGAATATAAATATGTAGGTTATTGTGTCATTACCGCAGCCTCGGCGGCGTCTTTTTCCTCCTGCTCAAGTCTCAAGCGCTCTGTGCGCGCCTTCTCGAACTCCTCCTCATTGGGCTTCTCTATGCCTAACAATTCCGCTCTCATACATTCATATTCGTATGTCCCTTCAGCCATTTTCAATTTAGAGTTGTAAGCACTTTTGATTCGGATTAAGCGAAAAATTCACGCTACGGGATAACTAATACCTGAGTGACACCTTTTATTTTGATCAATTGAATCGATATTCTATTTGTTGCTACATGCCCTAGCACACATAGCAGCAGTGAACAAGGTAAACAGTGTAGGAAGAAGAGAACATTTGAATATGTCACTAACGTCACTTAACTGGTAATAGATGTAGGGGACTAGCGCATGCGCAGAACATATTGATATTTGAAAATTTGGAGGACACTTGTTTATTTTTTAGGAATACACATTCTAGTAGTTTCATTTAGGCGTTTTAATTGAACTTCTAAAATAATGCCAACATTCCTCCTTTACTACAAACTTGCATTTCTTTAATTTTTATAGAGTGAATTAGGTGGACCGCCTCCGTAGGTGGAAACACACTTAGATACGGATTATGCTGTCTATTGTGGGAACTAGTAAATACAAAATGTAATTAAGCGAAACATTTCTTGAAAATTTTGCATTTTTTAATTGCAAATTAAATTTTCTTAAAATACAAATTTAATTTATTATAAACTTATCTAAGTAGAGCTTCACCTAAATGCACAATCGATATTTTATCATTCATTATTACGTTCATAGATTTGTATGTACGATTCTGTGAGTGTAATCATCTGTGGTAAAATTTCAGTTACATGCAAATCCTGCATTTCGTACCATTGGCCGTTGGCTTTATGCAAAATATGTGCACGATAAGTGCCTTTTTTCGGTTCACCATCATGCACTATGTTCGCCACTAAATTGTATTTGGTATTTTTGAGCTGTTCGAGGTTCTTCATAGACAAAATTTCTCCAAAATCCACGTTCCTGTAAGCACAAAATCATTTTGAAAAATGCCTAGTCATAAAAAACTTTCCATCACTTACTTAATGGGGAAATTAACAATTGTCGGATTCTTCTCCAGAAAGAATGTGTTCTTTGTGAAACGCTTGATATACAGTATAATATACTGTGGCAGCCGCGTGATTTCGAAACGCTTCAGAAAATTATCTTTATACGTATTGTATTCCTTCTCGGTGGTGCCATTGAATTTCGCTAGCAGCTGATAAAGATTTACTTGCGGAATAATATTCTCGCGAAATTCGTCGGTGAACAAAGGCGGTGGTGGAAGGTCGCAAGTGAGATATAAAAAGTTAGACTCCTCGCATTTTTCCTGATACTCCTCTGTGGCAAGCAGTAGCGATTTTTGTGTATCATCGAGTTCCACCGGCGGAATTTTGCGTGTATAAATTTTCATTTCCCCTAAAAAGATTTTATAAATAATGGACGAATCTGGCATTTTATTGCCCTTCATTGCGCGATGCAGTGTGTGTAAGAACCAAGATAGAAAATCGATGGGATCTCCTTGTTCGGTTATTTGAAAGCGCTTTTTAGACCATAGTACCACGGCCTGTAACATTTCGTGCGGAGATACGTGCGCCTTGAAATTCCGTGGATTCCACATTTTCCTCATTAGTTCACCGAAACGCTGTACAAGATTGAAGATAGAATCACCTGGCGGTCTCTTGATTTTCGCATAACTTTGCTCACGCAGGAAGTAATTCCGCAATGGGCCGACATGTGACAGTGCGTGCAGGACCACATTGCAGTAGTCGTTAGCTTTTATGTTGTTGAGACCCACAACACCGGGCAGATAAAGTGTGCCATCTACTGTGCGTGAATATTTAGGCTCCGAACGATCCAGTTGTCGTATATCTTTGGGCTCAAATGTGGGATTCAGCACATACTTGATATCGTCTAGCGACGAGTCGATAATTTCGTAATTATCAGGCAGGCAGTAGAAACGCAACGTTTGTAGATTGAGAAAAACATGGTGGGCCTCGGATACGGAATGCGTGTAAGCATGAGTATTGGTGCCCCGGCCTTGAAAATATTTACCGCAAACTAGACACGCGTAAACATTTATGCGAGTCAGTGAAATGGAGCAGAGTTTTTCGAAATCAAAATCCAGTAAATGGCGATTGATTGTGTCCAAATATGGACAAACGCGGTACTTTGGATTAAAGGCGGACGGCTCTAGTTCTGAAAAATTAAGTATTACCAATGATGGGACAATCCAAATAATTGTAATAAAAAATGTCTCACCATATTCATCGAGCTCCTCCTTCACTTTACCGTTTGATGCTGATTTGAACTCTAATTTAGGCCTTTTCGCCGGAGGCCTGATACCTAAGGGAATTTTTGAATTCATTTAAGTGAAAATAATTTATTAAAATACTTATTTTTTACTAGTATTTACTATTTGTTGACATTTTAAGAATTGCACCCCGGTAAATTCACAAGCTGCAGAGAAAAAGAATTGCTGTCAGCTGGTCGCAGCGCTGCATTGTCAAAAATCAGTGTTGAATTTTTCTGAAAATTCCCTCATATCGGTGAAGGGTTATTTCATCTTCTGTTAAATTTTTGTAATGTTGTAAGAGATACAGTAGTATTAAAAAACAAATCCTAATCGATTTTTTACTTGATAAACTAAATTTAGGCTAAATAAAGATTTTACCAAATGATTTTATGCCAAACTAGCCTTCCTTCAACAATCTGGCAACATTTCACTTTCGTTATGAGCGCATGATAAAAATGAAAAAGTGATACTGTAGTAATACCGCGCCTGTGCATCTTTATTTTCGAAAATAACAAAGGACTAGAATCAAGAACGAACTCACGGTGCTAGAAGAGCTCAGGTAATTTCATATCCATCATAAGGCAGATGGTGTATGTGTTGACCTATACTGTTTTTGGTCATCGAGCCCATGTAGACACATCAGGAAAGAACATAACCTAAAAAAAAATCTTGCTATCCTCAGAAATCAACAGTACCTTATATTCTTTTTACATAAGAGTTTACTGTATTTAGATAAAAATGAACGTATATTTATATTTAAAGTTTTTCATTCGATATGTCTAACATTATATATCTTAACAGAACAACAAATCATCTGGGAACAATGGAAGTGCGTATCGGATAAAGAGCTACAATTACAACAATACCTAATAATTGTTTACGAATCATGAGTATCCTGGGATATATGTAAATCCATCAGATTTTTGTGAAATCTACGAAAATGATATTACTGAATCTGAATTGCTACGAACCTACGCATTCAAAGTATATGCCGCGTTCGTAGCTATTCGGATTCAGTGATAGCATTTTCGTAGATTTCACGAAAAATTGAACTACGATGGATTCAGTGATAGCCCTAAAATTTAGAAATGGAAAGTGCTTTATCAATCAAAGAAATGAGGGAAGATCAAATTGCATGGAATCCTTCTGACCACATTAATTGCCTTTGAAAGCGCCATGGAAGCAGGTACTCAGTTGGAGCGATTGGATACGATTTCAGTGTAGTATTTTTGTGTCGGCATCTTTGACGTTGCCAGTAATTTGTTGAGCTATTTTAATTTATTTTTAACTTGTTCTAAAATTTTAAATATCATAAAAGAAGACGTATGGCATCGCTATGCCCAGATAAAGTGCTACCAATAATTCAGAAAACCTTTTTCAAATGTGGCACTTTTGCTGTTTTGAAATTCAGCAACGTTTTTGATTGATCCGCTAATGCGTTAAGAAAAAATTATGAAAATAAAAACACATTTGGTAACAAAGCTTTTTTTGTTTACTTTATTATTTTTTATTATATAACGTCTGGCAACACTGTTCCGGATAAAATACTACCAACAACTATACATGTAAATTTTTGCGGGCGTCAGCTTACTGCACAATCATGCGCGCCTGGTGAATTCGGGGATTTTATCGCCACTGTTTTTGCTGGGCTGGCGGCACCTTGCTGTGCGATTATGAGCGCCTGGTAGAAATCGGGATTTTGCAGCGACATTTTTCTGGGCGGCACCTTGCTATGCGATTATGCGCGCCTGGTAGAAATCGGGGATTTTAAAATGTAGTCAAGTCGCAAACAATACGAATATTCCGTTTTTGCGTACATACTTTTAGGCGCTTGGTTCGCCAGGTACCACCTTCCTCCGTAAGTAAAATAAAAGCGCGAAAACAATCGATTAGATATATATATCAACTAGATTGCTTTATTGAAATTTTCAAGTTTACATTTCAACATAAAAAAGTCGCATGTTCTATCAGCGTTGCAATATAACAACATTTCTCCTTCCAAATAAGTAACAATCAATCAACTGATGGAAATTGTAGAAGAGTAAAAATTTCAGTTAAGTACATAAGTATATGTATGATTAAAATTTTAAACGCTAAGTGGAAACGTACTACATCGATACATACATATGTACATAATAAGTAAATATTTATAGACAAACAAACATACATAATATATAGTCGAACGCGTGCATGCTTGACATAATTTGTGTTTATGATTTTTTCTTCAAATTTCATTGAGTTTTTTCCCATTATTTAATTTAACTAGTTCGATCGTATAAAAAGGCACATTCTTGGTAGACAATTTTTTGACTAAAGTTACTAAGGCATACATATCCCAGTAGTGAGAAAAAGGCATTTCGAAAGCTTAAATATTCTGTGGTACATATGTATGTACTACATACAAAAATATTGAGCATTTTATGTTTTTCGTTTAACGACTGGAATGTGTCGGCTTCCAATAAAATGTGTACATGACTTGGTTAAAAATAGTTAATAAATTTCCATTAATTTTACATATCCATACATATTTGTTAAAAAAAAAAAATCATACATTGAGTAGATACATGTAAATGTAAATAGAATATTAGATTTTCAGAACACATACGTATGTATGTATTCACCTCTTTGCATTTAAACTAAATTTTTTTCTCTGCATTGATCAAATCTTAGCTTAATATTAGTTTTTATTAGTAATATTACAGCAAAAACACTGCTCCTGCTTTCAAATCAATTCCCATATCCGCTCTTTACTTAGTACGGATTAACGGCCGCCAGACCAACGCGCCCACCGGCACGCGCAAATACCGGCTCCGCATAACTGTGACGATAGCCTTTGGTCAAATTGGAGATACCCTTCGGATTGGGTATTGGAGCACCGGTGGTGGGTGGTGGCGGCGTGGGCGTAGGGTAGTAGTCCGCGTGCTTATCAGCTTGTCGGCGATTGGCTCGATGCTCAGGCGGTCCTGTGCGCACATCT